TCTCTGCTCCTATGATGCTGCTTGGCCTGCTGTGTTCATCCAGCCCTGCACCTTGTTGTCTCGGATTCTCCAGCATCTGCAGTTCCTACTATCTCCAATTCCACACCAGTTTCTCTTTACAAAAACCTATTCATTTCATCTCACTCCAAAGCTCAAAGAAGAAACCTGCAGCATTTTCAAGTATTCATCCTTTTGAAAGTTGCATATGTCTGCTACATTCACCCTAATCAGAAACTTCATTCCAGCTCTAACATTCCTAAATTCTGTAAATAATAATAAAAGACTACAGGTTGAAAGTAATGTACCTGCTGCTGAAAACAGTTGTTCCCTGTCTATTCTTAAGACCCCTCCAAGGTTAGATACTTATTTAAATGTAAAATTTCTCCTTGTTTGACTTGCAACTTGCCTGAGGTACAGGCCTTCCGAATCTAATAACTGCAGATTGACAATACAGCAAATAGGAAATAGTCAATGACCAATTCTGCTCTCCATACTTAACAACTTGAAGTTATTGTGGACTCTGATCACAAACACCACTTCCTCACCATAAATTTCATTGCTCTCCTTGGCAACTATCTGAGGCTGAACCAGATGGTTCGCAACCTGTCATACCTGGCCCCAAGGTAAGCTTTCAATTACACATCTGTTCCACTAAAGCTAATCTATTTTCACCTCCATAACACTACTTATTTTTAAATCGCTGTCTCAGTTCATCTGCTGAAATCCTCATGTGTTTCTGTTACCTCTGGTCCTGCCACATTCAGCCCTGTGTAAACTGTGGTTTGGTGACAAATTTTGTTTGACAATGCTCCCATGAAGAGCCTTGGGACTTTTTTTTTTATTATCTTAAAGGCACTGTATAAACAATTTGCTGTTGCTTCAATTTTTTTTCTTGGGGAAAAAAAAAAAACTTTTTATTACCCACAGTACTGTATCAATTATAGCAAAAAAAATGGGCAAGTTTCATTTACCTTGGCAGTTACAGCTTTGATGTTAGCAGGCATGACACATTCAAAGGTGTTTAAATGCTTTTCTCTGGAGAAGATAATTGGTTCCGACTTCTGTTTCTGCAAATATTCTTCTTTGTTTAAAATATCTAAAAGGGCAAATATTTAAGTTAATGAAATAATCCAACACAATTACAAGGAACACTGAATGCAAACTCCCTCTCCAGTTTTCTTCCCTACATGGCCTGAAGTCAAGTGCTCATATTGGAGTAAGATTTACCAGAATCCCGAAGTAACTGTTCTATTTGGCTATTTGTCATGGCCGCAAACTCCCAAGAGGACAGAGAAAATGTTTTAGGGATGTTCTTGAAGCATCCCTGAAGAGATCAAACATCCCTTCCAACTCATGGCAGTGCTTGGCTTTGACTGACCAAACTAGAGAAGGCCCATTCAGGAAGGCACTGAATGCAGAGAGAGACTTTGATAACATGTAGAGGCAAAGGCAGAGCCATTAGAGAGCCCACAACTGCAAACAACCCATCTACTCAAGGTCTTTGAGGAGTATGTGGCCCACCCCACTCCCAGTGGTGTGGTCTGCACAAATCTGTATGGGACATAGCAGTCACCTCAGAAACCAAGAAAAAAAGATGACAACTTCAAAAACATTTTAATGACTATCTTACCCATGTGTTGAGCCTGGGCAGTGCTAAGTCATTCCAACATACAGAAGTATCACAACCTCACATTCTGGCTGTGTATGCATATTCTTCCTCTCAGTGACTGATAGTGATCAAGAACACAAATCCAGGCTAATTTTTTTTTTTTCTCCCCCCATTTCGTGCCAATAACAACACTCTGCAATATAACCTTGCTGAAGTCAGCTGAGCAATTCTAATGTAAAGTCATCTTTACCTGAAATGGTACACTCTGTTTCTCAGATGCTGCTTGACCTGTGGACTATTTCCAGCATTTCATTGTGCCTTCTCAGTCAATATGTATATTTGTCAAGTGAATAACTGGGAAAACTTCTTTTTTCTTGTAAATTCTAAGATTATAACCAATGGACATATTAACTCAAAATTGGCCCTACTGGTCCAAGCTTGTTCATCACCTGCACACACCTCTTCCCACCCCCTCTTAGCACAAAGTTATATCTTTGCAGCATTCATTCTACACCGATATTTTTCAAACCTTTTCTGTATTATGACCCCACTTTAAAGCTTTACACACTTGGTACAACCCCAGAGTGAAAACTGGGGAGGGGATTCAGGGAAGGGTTGTTCAGTAGGATTCAGCAGTGACCCACACACAAAGCAACTAAAACATCAACTAGTTGCAGGCTCTGTTGGTTTCAGCAGTGTTCAAAGCTTATTTAATTAGGAGATGCCCCCAGGCAAAAAGATCATACTTCCAAATGAGCCTTGCATTGTCCAATCAGAGTTGCTGCTTCAAAGCTTGTGACCCCTTTTTTTTTGTCCCACACTTCCATTGATTGTTACAACTGGCAGTTTGGGAACCACTCTAAGCCTCTCTTCATTAAGCTTTCCCTTTACCTTTAAGCTATTATTTGTGATTGAGTTCGCGTTTCTCCCCGTAGAATGAGTTCCTTGATTGGACCAGGTTACCAACCCTAATTAGGGAGCCAGGGCTGACAGATGTAAACAGGAGTGGCCCCTGGAGAGGGAGCATGCAGAGGTGGGTACAGTGGGGGGGTGAAATGCTTTATTTCTCCCTCCAATTCTCTTGCTTTAATCCCTACCCTCCCCTTCACTTCACTTTTTTTCCCCCCACATCAGCATTGCCCTTTATCTGGCTTTGCTTCTTACTAGTTCCCTGGCCACATGGGTGTTTTTCCTGGGCGTGGAAATATTAAATAAAGTTATTTGCACAATGGTGTCTTCAGTGAGTCCTTGCACTTACTTACTCACACTATGGGGAAAATAAGCACTCTGTGTAGCAGTAGTAGTGTGGGGAAAAAGAAGTATAGAGAGAGGATTTAGAACCTCCTTAGTTCAGGGGTTTCATTCCAAGCTGGCTGACCATAGACAGTGTACTGTGAAGACAAGGAAAAAATATATACAAACAGGAGTATCAGAGGTTCTGTTCATTGAGCGCTGAGTCTGAGGAAGCTGGACCACTGTCAAGTACTGTGTAAATAAAGGGTGACTTGGTGACAGGATACTAGCCTGTCGAGTTATTTCTTCCATCAGTGGATACCTCTTTATGCCTGTTACACAAAACTCTTTCATTATGTCACGCTACTCTCTACTTTCTCTTCAAAAAAGACCCTACTCTGTTCAATTGGTAATCATGCAATTGAAGATGCTAAATTTCAAAAGTTTATCCAGTTTACTTTTGTTGTGTTGTGTCTCCTACCCCCAAATGCTTAAATCCAGTACACTTCCAAAGTTGGAGCCACTAGCATTAGTGTGGCCTTTTTGTTTGTTCTTTCAAACTTGTCAAACTTACGTGAACTCAATCTGTCACTTTCCTTGTTAGCTGACCTGAACCTAGTCACATTAAAATGGATAGAAATTGGTTTTAGGCCAGTTTATATTTATACTTAGAATTTGTTGACTGGTGGGAGATCACATTTCACTTTCAAGGAAGAACTTTGAACTAACAAAGCCTTGGAGACTGTTCAGTGTACGGTATGAAGACAAGACACAGAGGCTAAGCCTGAGCCAGAATCTGCCATGAATTCAGGCAGTAGCTTCTGTGCAATCATGTCAAACTGAAAGCACTCACTTTTTATTTCAAAGCCTTAGACAGGACATCAATTAATTCAGTGATTCCATCAGTAAATGTCAACAAAAGTCTGTGTCTTGTTTTAAAAACAAATGAATAAACCACTCTGCCATGGCGGCACAAACTGCAAATTAGTTGTTAAAACAAAATCAGCAACTCACGTCAACTACTGTTACATGATTCCATACTTTTATTATCCAAATCAAATTACCCATGATGAGACTTAAAATGGTCTTTTACAGAATTTCTACAAAGATTCCACAGATCTCCATTCTAAATCAGAGAATAGGAGGACAGCCACATGGCCTCTCTGTCTTTGGCCTTCTACACTGTTCCATTAAACTCAACACAAATCTGAGGAACAACATTTCATCTATCATTTAGGCAATTCACAGCCTTCCAGATTTAACATTGTTTATGATCTGTTCAACTCACTGTAGAACTGACTTGTTTTTCCCCAAATCATAATATTCTGCTGTTGTCATTTACACCTGCTTTGGATGCTTCTTTTGTCCCATTGCCTGCACTTTTTCTCTGAATTATACTATCATCCACTTTGCCAATTCATCAACTCTGGCCTCCAGCAACTCACTCCTTTGTGAGTATGTGTGCACCACTACTCCTTTTCCTTGCTTTTGCACTTCCTTATAAACTGTTAAATCTTGAACTTTTTCCCAGTTCAGGTAAAACATCATTCACTAAAAAGTTAATTCTGTCACTCTTTTCACAAAAAAAGCAATCTGAGTGTCAGGTTTCCACCATCTACAGCTTGTAAAAAGATAGTTCATTTCAGGTAGACTGGCAGTAAAAGAATGAAATTTCATTATTCAAAACTGAATTTGACAGAATCTGAACACCTACCGCATGCAATCCAAAAATTTACTTGGGTATCAGAGTGAATCATTATGAAGGCAGATGTGAAGGAGAGCCCTGCAAGATCAATGAGACCATGTGGAAGCCAAGCCTCGACAAGATGATCAAAGACAGATCATAGAGAAAAGTGCGTGAATCCAGGAGGTTTTGTCCTCAATTGCACAAAGTAAAATAGTGATGTGACACTACTAAGAAACTATAAATGAAAATATAAGAATAAAATTGTTCCTTTAAAAAAATCCTGCATGTTGCACCATTCCAGTAGACCTAAATCAACACATCTGACAGCAGAACTGAGAGACTGATGCCTCCAAGAAAAAAGCCTGCAGGCAGCGAACCAATTGAACAGAAAGACTTCAGTCTTTAGGCATGCAAGAAAAGCCTGCAGGCAGTGAACAAGGAGAGTGGATATACTGCTGCTCAGAAGTTACTGCCTCAAGTAAAAGCTCAAGAAACAACAACCATTATTACCTCAAACCAAACATCAAGCTGTATTTCAAATCAGCATGAGGAGGAATGCTGACTGCCTTAAGGGACCAGATAGAAACACATATATATCATCATTGTCAAAACAGATTCTCATCATCCCGTTGAAAAATATCCTCATTAATAATATATTGAAAGCCGACAGTTGTGAATGCACTGGTTACTCACTCATATTTAAAGTCTGAATCTTTACAACTAAAAAAAAGCCTTCACATGGGCCAGTCTAACAGGATAGCCAGTGAACCCAATGGACTGGCCTCTTTCTATCCTATCACACAGACTGTAATTTTCCAACATGACACGTGGCATAAATAACAGTCCTTTCACAGTTTCATCCACTTGCTAGTGAAAACATTCCTTTTACGAATTACAATTCATCCAACAACTGAAGTAAAGAAAACTTTGGTACAACCAGCTTGACTGCACCTGTATATCACAAGCTCTCCCACTTCTATCCCTACTGCAAAGCAGAAGCTTTTAGGGAACATCAAATGATGTAAAAGGATTTATGTTGAGATTGTGCCAATCTTTTTATGTAGGAAGCTTAGACCTGGCAAAGTGTCTGTCCAGTTATCCAATCATCATGGGTTAGATTTAACAAATACAATACAGAGTGAAGCCACTCAGTCCATGTGACATGTCATTACTTTTCAACATCAAATTAATCCCAAACCCCATAGACAGCCCCACTCCTTTTGAATTATGTCTAACTTCCTATTGACAGTTGAGAATGTGCTTCCACCCCCCGTCACACAATGCATTTCAGAACATCATAACAAGTTCTAAGTGTTTTTTCTGTATAGCCCCTCCATTTTGCAAATTACCTTAAAATCCATCGCTTCTAAATACAGACCATTCCACTTGGGGAGACAGTTACTCCATCCATACCCGGTTCTGGGTGAAAGTGTTGATATCGTAACCCGAAACGTTTGTGCCCAAGTCATATGATACAACCTTACCTGATTTGCAGATGTCAAATTCCATGGCTTCTCCAGAGTTCAGCAACTTTTGCACGAGCATTTTGGCTAGTGATGTAGGGGAGAACAACACAGGGCGTTTCTGTTGGATGTGGTATGGATGGACCAGGCTGTACGGGATTAATGTGAAACCTCTCTTGATGTCACTTTCTGTATCCACATCTTCAAGAAAAGAAAAGAGAAGACCTTAGTTTTTAATACAAAAATCTTGCAAGTTTCTGAGAGAAGGGCTAACAAAAGTCAGTGCCTGGCCAACAACTGAACCTCAGATTATCTGGTCTATTGCATTGCTGCTTTCAGGAGTTTGCAGATCCAAAACCACCCTGGGGTTGTATAGGTCAGTTGACTGGATGGCTGTTTTGCAACGCAGAGTGACATCGGCAGCATGGGTTCAATTCCTGCACTGGCTGAGGTAACTGTGAAGGACTCTCCTTATCAGCCTCTCCCCTCGTTTGAGTCGTGGTGACTCTCTGGTTAAACCACCACCAGCTGCCTCACTCTAATGAGACAGCAGCACCATGGTCCAGCAGAACCATGGTGATTTTTCTTGAATAGTGATTGCAATTCTAAAGTACTTAATTTGCCACTAAGTAGTTTGGTTCATCCAGAGGTGTTGAGAGGTGCTATATAAATACAAGTCTTTTTATTACCATCCTGTTTGTCAGCTGAAAGTTTCAGAGTTTCGAAAGAGGCTTTTGCTGGGCCAGATGGGGAGCCAGTGACAATCCGCACACGCTCACTGCTATTCATTCTCTTGTACTTGTTATCAGACCTACTGACAAACTGAACAGAGACGAAGAAAAAGTTAGAAATCAATTTACAAAAGCAAATAGTACAATGAAAGCATTTCAGCAACTTCAACATGCAAATTCGAGATCAATACTTGCAATATGAATACTGCAAGGAAATGTTTCGAGCACACATTAAAGGTGAGAAACGGTGGTCCTTGTCTTCCCATGTCCCTGTACTCACCGAGTTACAATCGTTCCCAATCCAGCATTTCTTGATTTTAAAATTCTCGTTCTTGTTTTTAATCCTTCCATGGTCTCATCCCCCTCTATCTCTAGAACTTCTTCTAGCCCTATAAGTCAACTCTGGCCTCTTGGACATCCATGATTTCCATTTGGCCTCCATTGGTGGTGACAACATCAAATGTCTGGGCCCTGAGCTCTGGACCTTTATCCCTCAACAACCCAGTGATAACAAGAACTGCAGATGCTGGAGTCAGAGTCAACATAGTGTGGTTTTGGAGGAACACAGCAGGCCAGGCAGCATCAGCATGAGTCAACTCTCCTCCTCCTCTGATGCTGCTTGACCTGCTGTGTCCTTAAACCACCTGCCTCAATTTCCTTCAGATACAGTTTTTAAAAAAAAAAATTATTTGGCCAAACATTTAGACACCAGTCCTAAAATCGCCATTTGTTTCTTGGTGCCAAATTTTGTCTGATTCTACTCCTGTGGTGTAATTTGGAGCTAATAACCATGTGAACAGCACAACATAAAATCAAGTTTTTTTTTGTATTGATTATGGACATATTTTATGAGACAAACACCAAGTAATGATTTCCAGATAATATTTGTAAATTACAGCCCTTTTATGTAAACCCATGCAGGGCAATACATGGGGGATCACTGGTGAAGATCACTTATGGTGGAGACCCAGGTATGAATCTTCTCTTTAATTGTTAAATGTTGGGGGTCACCCTTCATAGAATCCCAATGGGTGACAACAAGAGTGTAATATCTGAAATAGAAGCAAAATAAATTCAGGACTAGTTGGTGAGGAGTTCTTATCAAATTTTACTAGTTGATATGGAGATGCGTGGAAGGCAGGCAAGGAGCAGAGTTTGAATATCTGATCCTCTGGGACAGAATGTGCATGAGGTAAAAGAACAAAAATTGTTTGACCATGTACATGTAAGCAAGAGGCAGTGGGATTAATCTCTTCCTATTCATTTTTTGAAGTGTAATTATTTGTCGGTGGAAAACAAGGCCATTCATCATTGTTCCACTGATACCTATTTTTAGGCTATAGCCAGGGTCACACTAAATTCCTAGTTACCGCCCAGCAAAGTAGGTCCACCTGTCCTACTCCTGAAACCCATAGGTCCAGGAAAGAGGGCAGAGGGGAGTGGTCGATGGACCTTGTGGATCTCGTCAGTCTCTGGAAGGGAGTCAATGATAGAGACATTGAACTCACCTCTTTTATCCAAGACCAGAGCAGGAATATCTGCTGGGCTCACCCTGGTCTCTGACCTTCTTTCACTAGCCAGACAATAAGATGCCCTTCAATGGCCAATAACTGTCCTGGACCACTCATAAAAGTGTAAATAGCTCAGGTATGAATGAGCACACAGCAAGATCCCACAGATATCAACATGATAGTGACAGATAACATCTTTTAGTGATATTGGAATGAGTGATGCTAGGGCAACTAAAGCATATGCAGTTTGGTTTGATAGCTCATATATGTTTAATTTCAACTCTAGGTATTAATTTTGGTGAGTTTAATGGAGATACTCTCCACCTGAAAGGCCAAAATTTTCACGGAGATGAAGGAATCTGTAGCTTGGCCAAAATGGATCACTGATATTGTCCTGTTGAACCTAACATTTATTATTTTTGCCAACTGAGCTGAAAGGGAAAGGGTTTGGACAATGGAGGAGGATTGTACTTTGCACATCTGTGGTTCACAGAGGCAGCTTCTTTTAAAAAATTCGTTCATTTGTGGGATGTGGGCATCGCTGGCTGGCCAGCAAATATTGCCCTGTCCGGCCAGCAAATATTGCCCTGTCCGTAGTTGCCCATGAGAAGGTGATGGTGAACTGCCTGAACTGCTGCAGTCCACCTGCTGTGGGTTGACCCACAATGCCATCACGGAGGGAATTCCAGGATTTGACCCAGCGACAGTGGAGGAACGGCGATATATTTCCAAGTCAGGATGGTGAGTGACTTGGAGGGGAACTTGAGCGTGGTAGTGTTCCCATATATTTGCTGCCCTTGACCTTTTAGATGGAAGTGGTCGTGGATTTGGAAGATGCTGTCTGAGGAACTTTGGTGAATTTCTGCAATGCATCTTGTAGGTAGTACACACTGCTGCTGCTGAGTGTCGGTGGTGGAGGGAGTGGATGTTTGTGGGTGTAGTGCCAATCAAGCGGGCTGCTTTGTCCTGGATGGTGTCAAGCTTCTTGAGTGTTGTTGGGGCTGCACTCATCCAGGCAAGTGGGGAGTATTCCATCACACTCCTGATGTGTAGATGGTGGACAGGCTTTGGGGAGTCAGGAGGTGCGTTACTCACCGCAGTATTCCGAGCCTCTGGATGTTGTTAGTGGGGGATTCAGTGATGGTAACACCATTCAATGTCAAGGGGTGGTGGTTAGATTGTCTCTTATTGGTGGTGATGGTCATGGCCTGGCATTTGCGTGGCATGAATGTTTCTTGCCACCTGTCAGCCCAAGCCTGAATATTGTCCAGATCTTGTTGCATTTGGACTTGGACTGCTTCAGTATCTGAGGAATCATGAATGGTACTGGACATTGCATAATCATTGGTGAACATCCCCATTTCTGACCTTATGATGGAGGGAAGGTCATTGATTAAGCAGCTGAAGATGATTAGCCCTAGGACATTACCCTAAGGAACTCCTGCAGAAGTGTCCTGGAGCTGAGATGACTGACATACAACAACCACAACCATCTTCCTGTGTAAGGTATGATTTCAACCACTGGAGAATTTGCCCCCGGATACCCATTGATTCCAGTTTTGCCAGGACTCCCCTTAATGTCAAGGGCTGTCGCTCTCACCTCACCGCTGGAATACAGCTCTTTTATCCATGTATGAACCAAGGCTGTAATGAGATCAGGAGCTGAGTGGCCCTGGCGGAATCCAAACTGGGCGTCACTGAGCAGGTTATTGCTGAGCAGGTGCTGCTTGACAGCGCTGTTGATGACACCTTCCATCACTTTACCTTTAATTGAGAGTAAACTTGATGGGTAATAATTGGCTGTGTTGGATGTGTCCTACTTTTCATGTACAGGACATACTTGGGTAATTTACCACATTGTTGGGTAGATGCCAGTGTTGTAACTGGACTGGAACAGCTTGGCTAAGTATGTGGCAAGTTCTGGAGCACAAGATTTCAGTACTGTTACTGGAATATTGTCAAGGCCTGTGACCTACTACACACGTAAAAGTGCAGCTGCTTCCAAACAGATCCAACTTTCAAAACTAGAATATAACGGTTTACCACTGACAAAATTGTCTAAAGCTTTGGAGTTATGAAACTGTAAAATACCGTTTGGAGAGGTAATTTCTTGCTGTTTTGAGAGATGTCACATGCTCCTCGAGATGGATAAAAGTAGACATTAATGTGTGTAAAAATGAATGTTGTAAAAGAAGGCATAAGAAAAAGATTCCCAAGATACAGATGTGCTTCAAGATTAGACAACAAATCTTAAGCACAATTCTTCATTCTGTTGGAAGTATAGCAGATAATGTAAAGGCAAAGAATTCAGGAAGAATTAGACACCTGCAAGAAATTTTTAAAACCGTTTGACAGTTACTTCAACCTCAGTGCAAATTCTGGAAACAGCCAGGTTTAATAAAATTCAGTACTCAAGCAAATCAAAACAAGATTTTAATGATTATTTAGAGAGATCAGTTGAGGGATGCATGTATGGAAATTTCAAGACAGAATTGATTAGAGACCACATTTTTATTGGAATAGCTGATGAAACTCAATTAGATTTATTATAGTCAAACAAAGAACTCACTCAAAAAAAGCACTAGTGAGACAGAGGCTCAAAAGCAAAACAGAACAACCTTCAGAACAAAAGCCATGGTACAAGCAACCTCCAGCATCAATATAATTCCTAAAACAAAACGGTACGAACACCATAGAAAGGAAGGCACTACTGAAAGGTGAAAGTGCAAGATTACAAAAAAAAATGCCCAGCTAGCACTGTGGCACAGAAAAAAAAAACTCTCACAGTTGAGATTGGACTCTTGCAACTAAAGTATAATGCTTCCAAAAAAAAGTGCCAAAGTGGGAGTCCAAATGAAGACCTAAAGCTATAGTTTTTTTTAAGATACCGAGCTATCCATAAAGTGCAGCAACCTTCAGTGGAATACAAGATAAGGGATTTCCCAGTGGAGATCAAAGACTTTAATACATTTTGCACTGCAGATATCTAATGTCAATGGATACATTAATCCTTGCAAGTTAGACACAGGAGCAAATGTAATCATATTGCCAGACAAGCAACAGTGGTACAGCCATGTCGAGCCAAAAGAAATGCAATTACATGGACCACGCTGAATCCAATTAAAAGTTAAAGAAAGCCACAAAAATACTCCAGTATAAAGAAAGGCTACACCGGAAACATTATTACTTAACCAAGAACTTTCTCTGCTAAGCAAAAGAATATCGACCTCAACCTCAATCTCATAAGGAAAGCGCAAGATGTCAACTAACAAGAAAGTAGCAGTCATGTCCAGAAAGACTTTCCGAAATTATTCACAGGACTAGGATGACATAAAACAGAATACAGCATCACACTGAGTAAAGCAGCCACACGACAATATCTCTGTATGCTCAGAAAAATATCATGCACACCAATAATGGAAATAAAATTTCAACTTGAAGAGATGAGCAGGATGTGATTAACTTCTCCAGTCATGATACCAATGGAGTGGTATTTGGAAATGGTCACAATCTCTAAACCAAACAGTACAGTTTGAATGTGTATAGAGATTCAACTCAAAGCTGCAGCAAGAGAAATGTA